ACTTGAATTTCTTTAGATATTACAGCTTAATTTCTCACCTGCTCTAAGCACTTGGGCACATAAAAAGGGTAAATTATTGTTGACCTCCATCTCCATTGTCAATTTAACATTGCAGATAATCTGGTCAATTAAAAAAATGAAATTATTTGAACTATCCTTGCCATGCTGCCAGACGGCAAAGTAGTCCTCCGTAAATTCAACTAACAGTTTGGGTGTCAATCTTACCTCTTCCATGAATTGTTCCTACATTTTTGACATGTAATTACTAGCTAAAATGGGAGCTAAGCAAGATCCCATTTCTAGGCCTTGCCCCTGTTTATAAACTTTATCATTAAAGGTGAAGTATGTGTTTCTCATGGATAGATTAAGAAGCCTCAAAAATAGGCTTTTGCTCAGATTTGCCTCCCCAATACTTTCTGGGTGTTTCTTTAGGTTGAGTGTAAGTGCTTCAATGGCTTTATGAACTGGGATGATAGTATACATTGATACCACATCAAAACTAGCCAAAAGATCATTCTCTTTAATAGCAAATTCAGATAAATTCTTCACTGAATATTTCCAATACTCAGCCAATTTTCTTAGTTGTCTACATAAGAAACTTGAGATCCTATGCATCACACTGACCTTGTTAGCTACAATCAATCATAAAGGAACTCCTTCCTTGTGTATTTTCGGAAAGCCGTAAGCCGAAGGTGCTCTAGCATTCCTCTGAAGAAGTGAATTCATTTTCCACTTCTTTATTTCTCCTCTGCTTACACAAACGTTAAGTGATTCATTAAGTCTGGTCTTAAGACTTTCTCTGGGATCCTTCAGTAAAAGTCTCAGAGTTTCTGAATCATTTAAACAGCGTCTGCATAAATCTTCCAGTAAAGCCAATCGACAGTTGGTCAAGAGGAATCCCCCGTCGTCTTCTGGTCGAACTGACCTTCGAATCTCTTCACCCAACACTTTCACTCGAAATGGAAGTAGGCTCAACAATTATGGAACAAGAGATTCCTCGAAACCCAACTTTTTTCGACTAGAATGTTAGTTACTTGATATACCCTTGCGTAGTTTTTCATGTCAACTGATTCGACGATGCGGTGTCAAGCTTTGATTGAGCGACGCTAAATAAGGAGTCAAGATTAGTCACGCACTCATGTGATCTTTGCGCCAAAGGATGTTGAGCCATGAAAGTATCTATGGGATGTAACAAAAACTAAACATTGAATGGGAAAAGTGTGGGTAGATCACTACAACATCAGGCATTTTGTCTAATTTTAGGATGGATAGCAGAAATTAGTGGGGGGGGGGATCCTTGGAATCGATCGGATTAAGCATAATATTGAGATTTATTCAACCTAATTCATGATAATTTTATGTTTACCGGAAATATTTAGCTTAATGATAAGTTAGGGCTTCGCATACATGGGTTCTTTAAATTACTGGCTTCATACAGAAACTTCTCTTTGATCAAGTTGCTTAATACCAAGTAAAGATATTCTAATTATAAACAATTGCACATTCCCACGCTCCAAAAGTGCTTTTAGAAATCTATACCTTGATAGAATTTTAGACAATAAAAGTTCTAAACATAATTTTTATGCTTTCCTCAAGGGATTTTTGTTATCGCAAATAACTTCAGTCAGGTGAATGTCCATCTACAGCCCTCGTTCTTTTTCTTATTGCTATGCCTTCCACAGCACCTTGCTGTGAGAAGATATTTAGATCAGCGGAATGGACCATTTGTCAGTCAACCTGCTACAGGCTGCTTTCATACTTTTGACGTTATACTTGCTCTTTGGAATGGCTCGCTCCGCCTGCCAAGGAATTCGGCCGCTGCTAAACTGGCTTCTGACTCCTGATGATAAGGGATCAACTGGCACATCGATTTCTTTTTCTTCACAACCTCAGCTTTTGGTCATGCCTCAACATGTGGAAACAAGCTATGTGTCTTCTGAACCGAGGGACATAAACCTATGGCAACGGTTGAAGATGGAAAACGGAGTAGAAATAGTTGGGTGCATCAAAGGCGATATAACACAGGAAGAGCTCCTCTTGAGTAAGTCATTTTCAAAAAATCCCAATTTTCTAAAATGATTATAACTATACACAAAAGTCTTTTTTGGACCATGATTTTATATAATTTATTTCACAGTGCAGATAAAATGTAATGTGCCTACAGTTAAAGCATAACTATATGTGGATTTGTGATTTATAAACTCAGCTGATCAGCTGACAAAGAATTG